ACATTTCTATTTTCTTTTGTAATTTTTCTTTTACAAATATCATTTTATTATTTTATAATACTTTTAAATAATTATATTATACCATATCTTCTCAAGTTCCAAAAATGTTTACGTTTGTGTTGACTTATATAAGAAATGAAATTAATTGTAGAACAAGCGACAGCAAAACGAAATTTGTTAAAACTAAGTAATCCATCTTCTCAAAGAGTAATTAATAAACATTGATAAATATGTTTATCAATGTTGATTAAATGAAAAAAAACGTTTTTCCTGAAAATAAAAACAAAAAAACTAGTTTTTCAGAAAAAATCTTTTGCTTTTTTTGATTTAAATAAATTTAATAAGAATGCGTGCAGTAACTAACATCCATTTTCATTTTAGTTTTCATTTATATATGCTACAGTAATTAATGCTTGTTTTCTGATATTTTTTGCAAACGTTTGTAAATTGTCATGCTTCGTAATTTATCATAAATTCTATCACCAATCCTACTGTAGCTTGTCCATCCAATACTATTCATCTTTGTTCATGACAATGACTTGAAAATATAACCAGAAGTTAATTATGCACAAAAGTCTTGTCTTATTAAATGATGATTTGCATTTATTTTAGATATACACAGAGCTTTCGCTTTGTCACACTTTTGTTGTCAACGAATTGTTTTGAAGCCGTACAAAAATGGCCAACAGGAATAGTTGTAATGAAAATGACGAATCGAATCAGTGCTATTCCGTTGACATTTTGGTTAATGTGATTATTTTGATAGGAACATTCATTGACGGCTAAAGATCAGGAAAGTTTGTTTTGTTGGGAATTATCCTTCAAATGAGTTATAAATCAAAAACACTTTTCTATTTGCCGTATCGGAACATATTAAAATAGATGTTCTTAGTGTTTGAACAGATTAAATGATATGGCAAAAATATATGAATGTGTGCATACATACTTTTCATTAAAAAGTGTTTTTACATTTGAGAGGGAAAGATAACAAACAAGTATTATCAAAGAGGCTTAACAACAGAAAGGTATTGGGGTTTGACTACAAATCAATGGTACAAATATCTTTTAGCAATAGTGAAATTTCATTGATAACCCTATTCGTCCCGTTCGTTTGTACCACTACGATCTATTCCACAGTTTAAATTATGTTGGATATCCATTATAAAGTTGGTTGTTGACATCAGGAGAGGTCTATTCACAAATAGATTTAAACTTCAAAATCACTAAATTTAGCCACTAAGTTTAATTCTCACTCTTACAATGATATCTACGAGGACTGGAACTGTCTACTCATATTCGGATATAATTTCAGTACCTTTAAGTATCTCATTGATATTGCAGAATGAAATATCAAACAATCATCACTACATTACTTCTAATTGCGAGCACTCAGTTCATCTTCATATTTGGACAAATGTATGAATGAAAATTAATGATTTCTCAGGGTGTTAATATTTAGGAAGTAATCAAAGAGCCATAACTAATGTGACATTGCAAGTATCTAACCGCCAATAATGATACCTTTCTTTGGTAGATCTCTAAGTATAGCTTTCTTATTTTTTTTTCGTTTACAAATTTTTTTCAGTTCCTTGACAGATCATGCGCAGTTTGACTTTGCGGTGAATTTACTGCAAAAAGTAGCAGAAGAGGATAAATCAGCATCCTATCTCCTCTTTCGGTGTCACTTTCACTTTTTATGGTTTATCTCGCAGCGCATGGCGAAACAAAACAACAATTGCAGGAAGTACTTGGAGGAAGTAATCACAGATTGAAAACCTTTAAATTTAAAAAATTTCCTTTCTTATTTAGAAACCATTGAGGAGATAATCCCATTGCGCAAATTGCCTCAATATTTTGCCTGTAGCACAAAATCAAAAAATGTTATCATTGGATGGGTATATTCCAGAAATGATAAAATGATTATTTCTTAATTAAACATATACCTTAATTTTCAGATGCAAGCCTATCACAGTTTCGAATACACTTTACAAACAACTGGCAGGTATTGCAGTAGCAAGAAATGATAACTACACCCTAAATATAGCAAGTCGTCTTTATGTACGCGAAGGCTTTCATACAAAAGATAGCTTTCAAAGAGTGCTTCGTTATTATCATTACAACGAGACATTACATAAATTCAATCTCGAGCAGAAAGATGAACTTATTCAGGTATGATTAGTAGTGATAAGCAGAAGTGATATGAATAGGGAAATGGGTAAAAGTGAAATTAGGAAAAAGGGATAAGGCGACCGCTGTTGTTGTTTTATATTTATGAGAAGATTTAAAATTTATAAATTCCACCATCATTACATCTATGTTTATAAACAGTAAAATTCATTTTCAGCAAATCAATGGTTGGATCTCAAGGCTATCCTAGATTAATTCTCAGTGATAATGCTAACCAGTTTCAATTGGTTTTTAAGGCCATTATGAAATATACAACTAAAATGAAAAACTTCCTAACAATGAAGGGAATTATTTGGAAGAGTATAACTCCAAGGGCCCCATGGAGCGGCGGAGTCTATGAACGGTTGATTGGCCTAACAAAACATGCGATGAGAAGGTGTATTGGAAGAAAACTATTATCACAAAAGGAATTGATCACATTAATAGTGGAAATAGAAGGCATACTGAACACCCGACCACTGACGTATATAAGTTTCGATGACTACGTTATCATACGTCCAATTGATTTTATTTCACCAAACGCCTCTCTGATAACTCAAATTTTTAATGACGGGGATCAAGACGAGTACACCCCTTATAGAATGAGTACTCAAGAGAAATTAATTAAAATATTGGTCACGTACAAATGAGGCGTTAGATCAATTTTGGAACTT